GGGCTCCTGAGCTCTCTGGCAAATGCATGTTTTAAATTAGAACTTTAGGGATTGCCACTTGGGTTGGCTAAATGCTAGAGTAGAGACAGCCACCCAAACTGCCCTTTTCTTTCTCCTCCAGGGTCTGGAGCCGACACAAGCCCTGCCCCATCTGGAAGACAAGAGACCTCATAAACACATCTACACTGTGGTGTTAATAATGTCATATTATCTTCTCAGGGGTTAGAAAAGTATCAAGGGGCCTCTAAAAGCCAAATTCTACACTCCGCTGTCAGAGCAGAGACCTTTCTGTTTAGGCCCTGGAAAATGTCTCCTTAATTTTTCCATTCCCTGAGTTCTTAGGGTCAAACCTGCAGCCCCATGCCCACTCCCAAATTCCATATTCAGAACCCTACTGCTACTGGGTTGGATGGGCAGAGATCTCACCTTTACATCTTGGCATGGGGTGGTGGGGAGAGAAAACAGGGATCTGGCTGCACATAGCCCTGAGCAAAGCTTGCTTCTGGGAGGAGAAAAATGCATGAAGGAGAAAACTACCTTTTCCCTTCATAGGGCTCAGAGTCACTGGCCCCCTGCAGCAGCTTTAACCATGTGCCAGAGCCAGTCAGCTTGAAGTGGCCAAGTGTTAAGAACTCTGTGGCTCTCACCCACGCAGTGTGGACCAAGAATGATGTATATATGTGCACACCCCAGGAGGGGTGGAATTGCAGACAACAGACGTCTGTGGAGAGAGGGATTATCTGAGGGAACAATTCAGGAGCACCTCATGCAATCCAGGAGGCTTCTCTTTCTGGAAATTACTTGGTGTTGAACACACAAGGGCTCCCTCTGTAGCAGAAGACTTAGTTGTACAAGTGATTTGGCAGGGCAGGGAAAGCTGGCACTAAGGCTGGCTTTTAAAACCCTTTCCCTGGGAGTAGGAGATGTGACCAAAATATAACAATTATTTAAATGAAAAATTTGTTTCAGTAAAAGACACATTATCATTAACCTTCCTCAAAATAACTCCCCCAACTTTAAACACACTTATCCCACCATTGCTGCCATTTTCTGAAGTAGTTCTGGAAGTCCTCTTTCTTGAGTGTCTTTAGGAGGGCTGATTAAAAACTATAGTGAATGCTGCTGCTGAATGCCATCCGACAGAGAGACAGGCTCATGAAAACATCACAGTGGTCCTCATCCATCTTAGTCACTGCATCTGGCACTATGTGACTTCTGACTCTTCCCCAAAGCCAAAATAACCATGAAAGATAAATGTTTTGGATCAATTGAGGATACTGAGGCAGCTACAACATCACAATGAAAAAGACTTGCAACAGAGGACTTCCAGAACCCCTTCAGAAAGTGACAAGAACTATGAGATAAATGTATTCAAAGTACGGGGGAATCTCTTGAAGGGGATTAATTGCAATGTGTCTTTTGCTGTAATAAGTTTTTAAATTTTTATTTAAGCATCCACCATATTTTGTGATCACACTGTATATGTAGCGTTTAGTGCTATTCAAGGTTTCAGGCATCTGCTGGGGATCTTGGAGTATAACCTCCATGTATAACAGAGGACTTCTATACCTGTAAGCAGATCTCTTCCTTGGGTTGAGTGCATATTTGAAAGTATTTTAGGGCTCCTACACTCAACAAGATGTGAATTAAAGCAGATCTGAGAGATGGAACCCCAGTGCTTCTTGGGGAGAAGGTCCTCTGTGTGGCCCTGGTCAGTGGGGAGGGTAGCCTGCGAGAAGCAGGTGGAGTGAGGTCACTGGCCTTATGGCCAGGCAGCCAGGTAAAGTTCATTTTAATCATCTTGGTGGCACTAAAGATCTCCCAAGATTCACCTGCAGGGTCTGAACTGGTCCCCAGTGGGTCCAGGACATGCATCTAAGTGAATGTGGCCATGTGGCTCGGAAGCAGGTGGTCTTGGCCCAGATCTGAACAGCAGGTCCCTAGAGGACAATGAGAGCCATGTGGCCATGTCAGGGCCACAGAAAACACTCTTTTAATGAGCTGCAGAGTGCCAAGAGCGTAAGCTCACCTGAGCAAAAAACCCCATCATAGACCACCAAGCAGGCACAGCCAGACCCACCCCAACTCACTTGAAAGCCACATGGCCCACTCAGCAACAAAGTCCCAGATGCAACATGCCCAGAGCTCCAGTAGAGTGGAAAGGAAGTGGACCTGCCCCGGAGTTAGTGCAGGGGACTCCCGCCTTCTAATCAGTGCCTGACTCATAGCAAGCCCACAGCAAACATCTGGAAAATGACAGTCTCCCACCAGGAGAGACCACATTGAGTTAGTAGAAAGCGCGCATTTTAATTTATTTTAGAAATTGTTAGCTTTGATGACCCATGCAAACCTCTTGGGAATCTGAAAATCTCTCCTTGCTTGGGTTCCAATCTTAGAGATTCCAATTTGATTGGTCTGGTCCTTGTTTTTGTTTTGTTGCACTTTTAAAGCTCCCCTGTGTATCTCATGTGCAGTCCAACTGCAAACCCCTGTGTTAGCTGGTAGGGGATTTCTATGGATTAGGTTGAACCATATAAAATTGGCCTGCAAAAATGGCACTTTCATAGGTTAAACTTGATACTCTTCCTGAAGGGGAGGCTTTGCTTCTCTTTCATTAATTTCCGTGTTTGGTTGTTGAAGTAAAAACACATGAACCCCAATGAAGCCCAGGCAGATCTGATTTAAGATGTTGAACTGGATGGCTTAAAAATGAGCTTGTTCCAGCCCAGGCAGAGCAGGAAACCTACTTTTTAAAGGAAGAGCCTCTCATGAAGGCTTTGAAAGGGTTGCTCTCCAATTTGGGCCAAATCTTGAACATGCCCTGTGTCTGAGAGCAAATAAAAGGTGTTAATATGAACCTGCTTTCCTAATTCACCTTCGAGACTAGGAAAGGCTTGACTGAATTCAAGTGCAAAATGCTTTGAAATCTGTGAAGATAAGTGTTCTGCCGATCATTTTCACCTCGTCGCTGATAGCTGGAAATCTAGTCCCAGCAGGGGTCCAGGCAAGATCACTGAGGAAAAAGGAAAAGGATGATGGAGGATGGACAAGGCCCAAAATTAGCCACAAGGGGAAAATTTAGCTTCATTTCTATTCTTCCCTATGTTGTTCATCATTTGGCTGGGAAGATGCAAAGTGTGGGAGCCGTCTAGGAAACCCATCTTACTTCTGACGCCAACTACAGAGTTCAGCAGAGCACAGTCTCTACCATGAGGGTCAGAACTCACTGGGAGAATACCAGGGACTCATTGAAGGTTATTATACTCCCAGTTATTGCTTATGAAAGGAAAGGCTGCAGGTTAGTCAACTGAGAGAAGAGGAATGTAAGACAGAGTCCAGGAGTGGTCCAGACACGGAGCTTCCATTGTCCTCTCCCCATGGAAAAAGGCAGCATTAGTTTCCCAGCACTGATGTGGTACAGGAATTATGGAATATTGCCAAGGAGAGGCTCCCTTGAGCCTCGGTGTCTAGAATCTTTTGAGGGGTCAATTACTTGAACTTTGTTGGCCACCCATATGGCCAACCTCAATCTCCAGCCCCTCCAGAGGTCCAATATTACATGAACCAAAGCCTTTACTCTGAAGCACATTTTTGGTGTGGCCCAAAACCTCTAGGCAAGCAAAGATATCCTGAAAATGAGGTTTCAAGGGCTTAAAGATCACTTCCAAAACCCAATGGCAAACACCAGATCTCTTGTTGGGCAAGGTTGAATTTTTTACTGCACTGAAGACGAGGTGTTCTTCTCTTCTCAAAGGAATCACATCTACTTCTCCTCTTTGGTCTTCATTAATCTGGGTATACTCCATTCTTCAACCCATTTGTCTATTTTAACCATACACTGCTATAATTTGGATCTGAAAGGTCACAAAAACCCCATGTGGTAAAGACTTAATCCTCAACTTGGCTCTAATTGGAGGTGTGGCATAGTGGGATATCTTTTGGTCATCAGGGTCATGCCCTCAAAGGAGATGGTGGAAGCTTAGCCCCTTCCTCTTCCTCTTTTGCATTGTGATCATGAGGTGAACTGCTTTGCTCAGCCATGCACTCCTTGCCACGATGTGCTACCTTGTCACAGGCCCAAAAGCAAGGGGGTGAGCTGACCATGGACTGACACCTCCAAAACTATAAGCCAAAATGAACCTTTACTCTTTATAAAGTTGATTATCCTAGATGATCTTTCTCATACCAGAAAGTTTACTGTCTTAGTTACTTTCCTCTCATTGCTGAAACAAAATACCAACAACCAAAGTTAAAGGGGGAAAAGTTTATTTAGCTCATAGTTTGTGGAGGTTTCAGTCCATAATTGGCTGCCTCCAATGTAGAGTGGCACATGGCAGAGGGGCAGCAGTTTAAGACAGTGAAAGACAGCAAAAGCAACAAGAGGGGAAAAAGAGAAAAACAAGACTCTTTCTGTTGCTTATATTGTGCACAGGCTACCTGCCCTAAGTCAGGTATAGCACTCATACCCATACTCTCAGCATTAGCCCATGAATCAATCACATACTCTAGATTCAGCTACCTCTGAAAAGCCTGCCCTCCCCCATGACTGCATGAGGCTTTAGGGGGACATCCAGACACAAATCATAACACAGAAATGCCACCTCCAAAGTATAATCTAGGCAAGCCCTAAGTCTGTGGGGCCCATAGCTGATGGAGGCACAGGGTGGTGAAAATTAAAACCTGTGCACTACACTAAAACCTTCCATGTATGTGATGTCTAGATGCCTCAGAATAAGCCAAATGTGGTTGACTTTTTTTTGTAATCTTGGAAATTTCACCCAAAGTGAAAGTCACCAGCAGGTACATCATGAATGAGTCATATTATTGGAGGATGTTCAACAGAGGATAAGAAATGGATTGTATAAGAAGGATAAGGTGAGATACAGTGAATGTGTAACAAGTAGCTTGTGAGAGATAAGCAGAACTCATAAGAAATGTTATGCACAGATCATAAGTTGGTAATTGTCTTAGTTTATTTTTTGTCACTAATAATAGCATACCAAAAACTAGGCAAGTTTCATATGAAGAGTTTTATTTTGGCTAACAGTCTTGGTCAAGGTTTTGCGGGGCTGCATTTGGTGATGGCATTCTTGCTGACAGATATATATAATGACATAGAAAGGATTTATTAAGTAAGCTTACAGTAGCCATCTATAGATTCAGGGTGGAAGAGTGCAAAATGGCCATCTGTGCACTGGAGAGTCAGAAGATCCAGTTGAAAGTTGAAGGCCTGGAGCTCACTGAAAAGACCATGTCAGAAAGCCAGAGGGTCTGCATGGGAAGGCTGAAGAGTCTGCCCTGGGAACCTGAAGGAACTGGAAACAAACATTCAAAGGCAATGGTGAAGATCAGAGGTCCTCCAAAGAAACAAAGGGGAAGACTTCCTTCTTCTTTCCCTTTTTTGTTCCATTCAGGCTACAGCCTATTGGTGCCACCCACATCCAGGGTGTGTCTTCTCTCCTCAGTTTGCCATCTGTGTGTCAGTCATCCAGACACACCCAGAATTGTGCTCCACTAATCCAGGTAGGTATTTCTTAACACACTCAAGTTGACATCACAATTAACTATAGCACCCATTAAAGTTAGTCACTAAGTAGATTACAGTGTTCCATTTATCAGAGCAAAGCATTACACTAGTCACGTCCTCACCTGTACCTACTTCATCATATCTCATCATAGGGATTGAATTTCCACATATGGGGCTGTAGGGGTAGCTCAGTGGTAGTACTCATGCTTAATATGCTTAACATGAGTGAGGCTATAGATTCAATTCCCAGAACCAGAAAAAAAAAAAAAAAAGACCATGACTTTTGAAAGGGAGAAACCACAAACCATAGCAGTAACCCATAAGAGATGTGACTGGGAAAAAAATAATAAACTTGCAAGAGTGTTACTTACAAATTGAAAGGGATAGAAAGACTAAGTTCACAAGGTATGTATCATACCACATGCCACTTCTAAGTTGATTTTCTTTCTTTTTTTTTTTTTTTTTTTTTTTTTTTGATGGTCCTGAGGATTGAATCAAGGGCTTATACTGAACTATATCCCCAAACATTTTTTATTTTTATATTTTGAGGCAGTGTTTTGCTAAGTTGCTCAAGCTAGGCTTGATCTTTTGATCATCTTGCCTCAGCCTCCCAGAGTACCAGGGTTATAAGCATGCACCACCATAGCCAACTAAATTGATGGTTCCTTCATCCCTATCATCACTATATTGGCCTGTACCATCCCTATCATCCCTATACCAGTATGTCCCATTCTATACTCCATGTGCTCTTCCCAAGAAATGGAGATAAAATCTGTAGTTGTTTAGCCAAAGAGTTGGCAAATGGCCCCCATATCTGCTCAAGAGAACAACCACATTGCAACTCGGGGCACCTCTGCCCCGAGCTGCTGTTTAACCTGCTCAGTGAAGGTTGATGCTGGCAGCAGACAGAGTCTGTGTGCACACCACGTAACCCAGGATAAGGCAGGTGATGCTCACACCCTACCTGCATTCAATCCTGAGGATGGCAACCTACCCTGGCCCTTGCTGCTTGCTTGTTGCTGTGTTTTAAGTTGACTTCATAAATCATGAGACTCGAACATCTTCATTTGGTCTGTGTGCTTTCTATTTGGGGACCACTGGAATTGTTTTCAGGGTGGTAGACTTGAAGGCTACCACCAGGTCGAGGGTGTTTCTTACACAGTGGGAAGGATTAAGTATTATAGACTCATATAAAAGAAAACTTGACCCATCACTCAGGGATGGGTGGTCCTAGCTGTAACAAGTGGCACTGACCTTTAGGCAAGGGAAGAAGACAGCATAAGTGGGGCCCTCTGAGGTTCCCTGAAGCTCTAGGAGGAGACTGAATATTTGTATGAGGAAATTGAGGGCTGAGAATACAGCTCAGTTTCACAGCACCTGCCTGGAAAGTGCAAGGTCCTGAGTTTGATTCCCAATCCAAAAAAAGGAGAGAGAGAGAGACTAAGAGGAAACTGAATACCCATATGACGAGGTTGGATATTTACGTCAAAGCTGAACCACAAACAATCTCTGACCTTAAGAATTCCCATGCAAAAGGAATCAGAATGCCAGAATTTAAATATTTATTTTGCTTCATACCAAATAATACTATTACTATTTTATTTTTAAAAATGAGACAGGACCTTCATGACCATCTATACTTTGCCCTTAGAGGAAGTTCCACCTGAGAGAGGGTTGGGATAAAAAGTGAGGTTCCATTCTCTCTGTATGGAGTACTAAGAAGGGCCTTGGGAAAATAAATTATTCTAGCAGAAGAGGAATCTGCATAGACATGACCTTGGAGGATGACAATGGAAGTGGGTGGAGAAAACTTAGTCGTAGGAAAAAAGGAAGACGCTTGATGGGGAGGATGTTTGGGACCCGTTTTCCTCTTCTATCCTTTTCTTACCCTTTTATCCCTTATCACACTCTTCTCCTTTTTCCCTTAATATTTCCCTATGATTCTAGGAGAGAGTTTAGGATACAGATACGGGCAGAAGGCTCTGGAAGCACTGCAAATGACCAATAAATATAAGATAGTCAACCTCACTAGCAACTCCAGAAGCAGGAATCAAAACCAACAATACACGTTTTGGGGAGAATTTTAAACAACTAAAGAATATAATTTCAACTCATACCAAATAAGAAGACTTTCCAATTATACACGCTGGATATGGCTCACAACATAAATGACTCTGATTCTGGGTGTTTGTGGGTTTTTAAAAATAACTGTAAAACAATACTACTATGCCAGCAAAAGTTGTAGGTATTTGAGGACTTAATAAAAAGCATGACAGCTAGGAGTTATGGAAAGAATAATGGAAAGCAGTCTTGTGAGATGACAGTGATTTTTCTTGGCCAGTGGTCATTTGAAGAAATTAGAGCCAACAATCAGCCCTGAGTTTTGCCGGAGGAAACTATCCATCCTCATGTTGCCCAGACTCTCCTCTTTCTGCCTGCCTTGGACTCCCCAAACTCTCATGCCTCACCCACACCTGCCATTAGCATGTCCCCCAGAATCTGATAAACTCTCAGAGCCAGGCATCTTCCTTGTTAGTGGCTCTTCTCCCTTTGCCAGAGAGTTGGGATTTGGAGGTACAGCTAAGAGGCTGAGTTCCCTCTGAAATGAAGCTCAAGCAGCTTAGCATCATCGAAGAACAGAAATATTCAAGATGGAATGTTTACATGATCTCTTCACCCTTCACTTGCTGAAGGACAGATTTTATTCCATATGCTGGAAGGAATTTCCTATTCTTTTGCTTTCTCAGGCTCCTCTGATTCCACTAGGAAAGACCTAGCAGTTAAGACTTGAACTTGAACATTCCACATCACAGAAGCACCATAGGGCATCTCTCTTGTGCTTTGGTCCATCCATATCCTACCTCCAAAAGTCATGAAATGACTTGGAATCTTGGAATATGAAATGTCAGAGGGTCATCCTGCCCCAGGGAATCTGGCAGATTTCATGGAAATTTTGCAATGGTTCTAAGTGTGAAGAGGAAGAAAATCTTGCATTCATTGTTAAGGAGTCTCTAAGTATTTTCTAGGCATATCAGTACAGGATAGTTCCCTGGCCACCAGCATGATAGAAATCCACCAAAACCTTTAAACGGACAGGACCATGTGAAATAGAAATGCTGGCCAACTCTTCTATCTTGGGCTTCTTTTATAAACTGTAGAGTTCTGTTTTGCCTCAAGCTTTTGAAACTTACAAGCTGGTGTTTATGGCCAGCAAGGAGGACCACAAACACAGACCTCACCTTGAAATTCCCATTCGTGTCTGCCCAGGAACTGTTTGGCACCACACAGGTGGGACCTGCTGGGTGCCTGATTATGATGTGTGGGAGCTGCCTTTCATTCAGAGATTCCAAGAGCTTTGCTAATGTGGATTCCTCAGGGATCATCCCCACCAGGCACACTGCAGAAGGGCATTGCCTGGGATGCTCACGTGCCTGGCAATAGACTTGCTGCAATCAGCAGCCAAACAGAGGAGTCAAACTGGCAAAGAATCTTGGAGGGCTCCAGAGATGCCCAGCATCCTCCAAAGCAAGGTTCCATATTCTTCATGCAAGTCCAGAGATATTAAATTAATACCAGAGGCAGGATTAACACCAAGAAGGTTGCCATTTAGGCTCCTGCATCTTGCTAATGCATCTCTGTAACCAACCATCATGGGGGCTTTCAGAGCTAAAACTGGGACAAGGCGCTTATTCTACCTCGAAGTCACCACCGTTCATCTTTCCTATGCAGCCCCAGGCGTACACACCTAGTGTGGGAAGCCAGTATCCTTTGTCTCATTTCTGAAGAACACTCATCAGCCCTAGGCTGTGGGCTATCCCAGCAGAGGTGAACCCCAGGCACTTCTGGCTGCACACCCTTCTATGCAAGGCAGACCCAGAATCAGACTAAGGAAGAAAGTTGCAGGTACCAGCAGATGGAAGGAGCACACAAGCTGGGTGGTGCACAGAACAGAGGAAGGGGATCTCAGAGATCTGTGAAGACACCAAGAGTGTTCCCTGGAGCTGTTATTTTGCAGACAAGCATAGTGAGGTGCAGGGAGATTAAGCAACTTGCCCAGGTTGAAGAGCTTTAATCTTAGATGCCTTGGCCTCAGAACTGTGAGAGAAGTGTGTATTGTTGTAGACCACACAGCTCGCAGTGCTCTGTTACAGCAGGAAATTGACAGGAGAAACTAGTGACTATGGACTCAAGGGTGTGCCTGCAAAGGTCCTGCTCTGTGGAGGAACTTTTAGCCAGTGGGGACAGCAAGGGCAGCTGTGAGGCTCTGAGGTCCGATGGCCCTGGTGTCCTGATGGTACTTGTAGTTATTACTGGAGCAACTTTGCAATCAGCCTATAACCTCAAACCTCACTCTGTAAAAAATCCCCAAATTGTGATTTTCCCTTTTGAGCCTCAAGAACAATAACTAGAAATCAGCACTCTCTTTTGTCCCCTTTCTTTAGTATTGCCAAGTCTGGAGTTTTGCTTGGAATGCCAAGCACTGTTCAGGAAGTCCCTGTGTCCCACAGCACCCCAATTCCAGGTCATCAGGCTCAGGGAGTTACCTAGGACACAGGAAACCCAGTGACACGCGTGGCTGGCAGCCCAAGGGACAGCGAATGGCACCAAGCCACTCTAGCAGCTCCTCTCTGCTCCTTATGAAGTCGCTCCCAAGCCATGGCCCCCTTGAGGCTGCCTGATAAAATGATAATCAGAAAGAGGCTTTAGTCTCTAGGCAGTTCCAAATGCTTTTGTGATGTAATATTTTGTTCAATAAGTAAAGTTTGTGACAACAAAGACTGTACAAGC